TTGCCGGTTTTCAGGGGACAAGCAACTGGTGGCCTGTTGTGTCAGAATAGTAGAGAATCAAAGCAATCATGTTTTTTGGGCTAGTGAAGCTTGAATGGTGAAATGATGGAAAAAGTATCAATAATATAATTTAGATATATTTGTTTCAATATGTTAAAGTTAGAGAATCACAATGAGCTGTCCAGGAAATGATTATTCTCCAGGAAGAGTTTTCTGTTTTATTAGTGGGACACCGCAAATGACACATTTTTGTTGTTATGTAAATGCACTGACATTGAGACATCCATTTGGAGGTATGACCAAATACATTTTGGGACTGCTGTATAAACTAACTGTTTGAATTTACATTTGTAGGCCTTTGGTTTGACTTGGAGATCTCATACAACGGTTCCTTTCTTATGACTCTTGAAACCAAGATGAACCTGACCAGACTGGGAAAGGAGGGGGAAGGACTTGGAGAACAGGGAAAAGAAGGGTAAGAGTGACATTTCAGAAGACAGAAGTTCCTCATCTCTTGTTCTAAATATCTGGGCTTCTGCCTTTTTTGTGTTTATTTGATGGGTTATTTTTTCTGTTGGATGTTCACCGAGCCAAACAACCAGTTGAAAACCAAAAAGATATTGTTTTTATTCATTTTAATTATCATTTTCTTTTTTTTTTTTTTTTTTTTTTTTTTACTGTTTCCTCTGGACTGATTTGTTTTTGGATGTGAACTCTTAATGGTGAGTTGAATCAGGGTTTTTCTGAAATCTCTCAATGTATTGTACATTGCAGCAGCTTCGAATTTTGCTCCATTCATTAAACTGACAGACACTTCACCACTGTAACACCACCACATCCCCGCATGTGCTTGCAGAAGTTCTGTTCCAAGCCCTTGAATGAGCGTCACATTGCATTCTGGGATTGCGACCACAATTTATACATGTGGGTTCTGCCTTTGTGTGTGAAACACACAAACAATAAATCTAAAAAAATATCTAAAAGTGTTACAGCTCACTGGGGTTCAGAACGTCTTTCATCTTTGTTTTGAAGAAGTGCTGTTTTTTTTGACTGTGTATTGGCTGTGGAGTTTGTCGACTTTAGTATAGGTGTGTTGCAGCTTTGCAAATTCCCTTGCTTTCAGAAAGCCAGTTATCATAGAAATATGCTGCCTAAGCCTTTGTTTGTCTATGTGCATGGACCAGAACCAGACCACGCACTTACTTCCTGGCCGACAGTGATGAAGAGTCATCGAGTGCAGGATCTTCTGATGAGGAAGATACTGTGGAAGTGCCTGAAATTCTTGGAGTGGAAGGGTGAGATTGAGGAACTTGCCATTTCCTTCTGTGTTTAATTCGGGATATTGTTACCAGTTTAACAGCTTGGACACAGAATCTGTCTGTGGGTTAAAGATGTCCGCACACCTGGAGATAAAGGTACTCTGGCAGAACATGCTGCATAATAACTGGCTCGTGGCCTCTTTTCTTCACAGTTATGTTGGGGGACACCGACCCAGCAAAATCATGCGCTTTGTGGACAAGATTGCCAAGTCGAAGTATTTCCAGAAAGCCACAGAAACTGAGTTCATTAAGAAGAAGATGGAGGAGGTGTCCAATACGCCGCTGCTCCTGACGGTGGAGGTTCAGGAGTGTCGAGGAGCACTAGCTGTCAATATTCCACCACCTCCAACAGACAGGATATGGTATAGCGCTTCCTTCAATATCCTCTTCACATTACCACTGCACAGAAGTAAAGTCTGATAGTATCTCTGGGCGTCCTACAAGTTGCTAGCATGCCATCTGCTGGTCATTATTCATGCCTCTGTCTGTAAAATTAAGATTGGATTTTAAAATGCATTTAAACATTTTATTGCATGGATGAAGCGCATGAAATCAGATTTGTGTGTGTCTTTTTGCAATTTTTCTGACAATTAGGCACCCTGCAAAGTATATACATTTTTAGAACTCAAAAGTAAAACATGTTCCTGAAATAAAGTGTTCAGAGTAAAGACTTGAATGTGGACATATGTGGATGTTTCTGTTTATTTCAGGTATGGTTTCAGAAGTCCTCCTCATCTGGAACTGAAAGCTCGGCCTAAACTGGGTGAGAGAAAGGTTACTTTTGCTCATGTGACCGACTGGATAGAAAATAAACTCAATCAGGAGTTTCAGGTAAGCATATGTGAACTTGATGAAAACACAAATATGGTTTTCCATGGATTTCATTATGAATGCAAAAATAATGCAAAAATATTTTCATAAATATTTCTGTAGTTCTTGCAATTTCAGGAGGACTTTAAAGAATTTGGTTGTGACTATATTACAAATGATAGAATTATGAAGTTCATCATTTTAATATCAGACTACATTAATAAGCCTTCTCAAAGGTGTTATAGGATAGGAAGGATTGCCATTCATTAGTGCAGGGGTTCTCAGATCTGGCCTTCGAGGTTCACTTTCCTGCTGAGTTTAGCTCCACCTAATCAAACACCCCTAAAAAAAAAACTAATCAAGTTAGTTTAATACAATTTAGTTTGATCAAGGTTAGAGCTAAACTGCAAAAAAAAAAAAAAAAAGAAAACCTTAAGGCCCAAAACTGAGTTTCCCTGCTTTAGTGGTTTTCTCTCAGTAATTAAAAACTGCAAACTCATACACAAAATATTTGGCTCCAAACTGGGAATAAGTACATAAGGAGCTAAAAATACATTAAAAAAAATCAAAAAGCTAAAATGAAAAAAAAAAAAAAAAAAGTAAACCTTAAGGCCCAAAACTGAGTTTCCCTGCTTTAGTGGTTTTCTCTCAGTAATTAAAAACTGCAAACTCATACACAAAATATTTGGCTCCAAACTGGGAATAAGTACATAAGGAGCTCACAGATGAGCTCTCTGAATGTATAATTTGAATAACAAGCATGCAAGCACCTTCGGGTACATATTTGATTGCTGTTATTAGATAAGGCTTTTATTTTTGTCTTCCTACTTCCTCTTCTTGACCCTCTAACGCTTCCATTTACCTTACGCAGAAAATATTTGTAATGCCAAATATGGATGACGTCTGGCTGCCTATCATGCACTCTGCCATGGACACGCGTGCCAATGCCTTGAAGAATGAAGAAACCTTGGACCCTGAGGAGTCCCTTGAGGACATGTGAAGATTAGTTACTCTATCAAACAAAAGATAAACACTTCAGTCCCATGAGGGCAGAACTATACCTGAGTTGAAAATTACAGGTGCCATATTGCCCATTGAACAGAGCTGTGACAAATCTGAACACATCAATAACTAAAAGAAAGGACAATATTGCTTGCTTGCTTGCTTGCTTTTGATTTGTTTGGGACAGTACGAATGCACTTGCTGCTGGCCCTTAAACAGGATAAAGAGGTTTTGGTGACATACTAAAATGCATACAGGTTATGTTGAACAACTCGTGAAGAAGCAGTATAGGACATAGAAGACTAGGTAAAGTGTATACACTACCTCTGTTTGATGCACGCTGACTTACCAAACGTCCTAGTGTCACATGACACTAAACTGTTTCCTTCAAAAGCCTAACGTCTGGTCGGCAGATATGAATTACAACCCGAGGGCTTTCACTGGACTTTTGGTGTGACAGGGTGCCTGCAAACCACCTGGAGGGTTCGATATTTGGGGCCGTGCATCCTTGGGATGTATAGAACGTGCTACAAACACCAGTAACGGATAATTCTGGTAATTTTAACAGAAACTCTTAAGCCAAAAGGGGGCATTTCTGAGATTTGCACCCATTTATGATTTTCTCATGATTGTCATATGCTTCTAGCAGCAAATAATTTATTAGACACAACAGACCTACTAGTACCACCATTATCCTCTTCCATTCACTGCTGCCTGAGCCCTCTGTGTGGCGTTTGATTATGCAGTTAGATCAATTTCACTGTGCTCAAGAGGGACACCAGCCAATAACCTTTCATCCCTACCAAGTGATCCCTACTCAAGCAGACTATTCTAGAGGATAGGGTTCAAGAGCTTTCTATGTGAGATCTCTCCAATCATCGCCCCTCTGCAGGTGGCCGTAGATCAGTGGTTCTCAAAGGGTGAGTCGCAGGTCTATTCTCAGAGAAAAACAGGGATTAAGGTGCAAAGTTAGGACCGCAAGATAAATAGGCCAATCTTTTAAAAGAGAGGGGAAAGACTTTTCATATTTTTGTATAGTTTGAGTTTGTAATCTAATCAACCCTGCTGTGTTTTGGTACAAATTCATGTCACAGAACTCAAACTGGTCTGTCTGTTTGTAGAGCAACCTGAAAGGGCAAATTCGCCATGGGTTGTAATTTCTACTGGTTTTTAGAAAGGTGTTTTATGATTGTACAAGTAAAATAAGATCTGTGATTAAGAGTACTTAAGAGGCTTTCACATTTTTACATAAATTACACTCAAATGTGAATTTTAAGCCATTGTGTCTTTCATAAATTTATCCATAACCTACATTTTTTCTATTCTGGGTTTTTGAACTGAATATTGAACAGACAGAAGAACAGACAGATGCTAATGGACTGAATGTGTGGCCTGCCCTCGCCTTTAAAAACCATTAACAAAACTGCACAAGGTGTATAATACAACCCGACTGCATATGATCTATATATTTGCGCCGACCACAATGTTTCTTATTCAGCCTGTCTTGTAAATAACTTTGTATATTGTTGGGTAGTTCATGGTAATATTAATATATTTCAGTGTTTGATTGGAAGGGTATTTTTGTTTACTTTTTGAATGAGAATCAGTTTTGGACTGTGTTGGGATGTGCAATCTAGAATCTGGGTCCTGAAGCAAAACCAGTTGAGAACCACTGGGCTACACCTCACATTGCATTTCAGATCCAGGCTCAAAATAAGTGCTATTCTATTTCCAACGCAGATTAACTCATGTCTTGTGTACATGTGAAGAAGATTGTTGAATGTACAAAACAGTTCCTATTTTTGTCTACCTAGTTTGGCATAGTTTGTCAAGTGTTGCTATTTTTGTTGCTGTCAGGTAGACTTTTTTTTATTATTTACTGTGCTTGCAGTCCATTGGTGTATTAAATCATGTAGGTTATGTTGAATAACAGTGGCAAGTCTAAAATATCATGAATGAGTTTTGACATTCATCCATTATCAGATACTTAACAGGTATTGACAGGTCTGAAAAAGTGTTTTCTGTCCAACACCACAAATTCTGTATCTTTGCTGCCACTGAGGTTTCAGAAAACGTGAATTATGGCTTTTTCCACCTCCATTTTGCGTTCAAGTCGAAGCATCAATACTACATGTAATTTGATTTTAATGTGTTTATTTTGTATCACTGTTTATGCTTCAATATTGCCATTCTCAATTAATCTTTTGTGTGCACTCTGCCAATTGCTGTTTCCTTTGCGCAATACTTCATTTGAATATTGTTCTGCCATATTGACAACATGATTGTGTGTGGAAATTGATAAACTGCTTTTGCAAAAATATTCCAGACGCATTTTTTCAAAGCTTTTGGTTGAATGGTTTTAAAAGAGCAACTCCCAAGAAGCCCTTGCTTGACCCATTGAGCCATGAAGGGGCTCCACAGGTTAAAAAAAAAAAAAAAAAAGAGCTTATATACACTACATTGCAACAAATGAAATATACCGTTATGGACCCCTTACTCAGATCCACTATTACCCTCCAGTTCAGTGCCCCTTTATAGCAGACCAATCGTGGAAAATAATGTATACACAAAAAAAAAAAAGTTGTCGACTGCTTTTAAAAGAGCAACTTGGGTGGAAATCCAAGAGGCTCCAGTTATAACAAGCTTTTACTGTTGCACTGTTGCTTGGCCCATTGTGCCATGAAGGGGCTCCACAGGTTCAAATACAGTGCTTAAATATTTTTTACATAAAACACTGCAACAAATGACACATGCAAAGAGGTTTATTTTGTTTGTTTACAAACACTCAAACAGGATTGTTCAATTGTTACATTCACAAAATATTACAGTAAAGTGTAAAATTATACAGGTACATCTGCAACACACACCGCCATTACAATGAACATAGTGAGGAACATACAAACCTCAGCCTCTTCCAATTCACCTTCTCTCCCTGTTGCAAAAGAAAATGCCATCTTAAAGATTAATTCCAGCTTCAAAATTAAACAGACTTTAAGTTGAAATTCACCAGTCTTGTCAGTTATTTTGATTTGACATCACTGATGTTCAGCAGTCTAACGCAGTAAACGCATCATTCAAGACCACACAAACAGAAAATGTATGATGCAGTGAAGTCAGGCCTGGTCTTACCTAGAGTCACTGGCCACAAAGTCCACTACAACAGCAAATAAGCCTAAAAGAGGGACAAAAACAAATGAGTCACTTATGTATTATAATTTAGCAAACATGAGCTTTATGAAAACACTCTTGAATGTAATTTCACGGTGAATGAGGGAAGCCATGCCGCAAACGTGCTCAGGAGCACACCACGTGCTCACATTTCTAAAGTAGAGTAAAATACATACATACGAAATATACAAAATGTAAACTTACAACAACGTTCCAGTTCTATTAAATAAATACAATCAAATGTCAAATTTTATATTACATACACTTTTATCAGCAGATAGGTTACATTTACCTGAATCAGTCGACAACAAGAGTTCACTTGTTTTTCCTCAATTTTATCACTCTTGGGCTTATCGTTCTAAACTGCTGATGGAGAAGTGAGACGAAAAACACGTAATTTGACCTAAACTGCTGTTCCGAATATTAGCTTCACTCCCTCCAACGTACGAAATGAACTGGACTGAGCTCAGTCCAGACTAGTTCAGAGAGATGTTCTTTATACGGGGACACCACCAACCTCTGCGCTCCGCTTGGCTCACGTGTGCCTTGGTAACCAATCACAGCATAGACCTGACGTCATTGAATTGCTGTCAGAGCTGCATTGGCTGAAAGACGATCAGTCACTCAACACAGTGCGGTCAATGGAGGAAAAAATTTGGATCCAAATGGTAAACCTATTTGTGCTACAAACCAGCATGTTTATGATTATGATAATAAAGTAAAATAACATGATAACAAATACCAGTTTGAAACTTAAAGCAGCATAATGTTTAGTACAGCAAAAGAACTGGAAGTACCACTGGCGTACCTGCTCTTATAACAAAAATAAGACTGATACTGAGATGCTTACTTTAAAAAATATGCAGCTGGAGATATGTTTTTTTTTATTTATCTGTATTTATCAATAAAACACACAAGCATTTTAATTATTTAAAACATTTTAAAGCAGAGTTTATTTATTTATCTTGAACAACATGCCAAAAAGTGTAGTCAAGAACAAAAAGAAAGACTAATAGCAAAAGGCTATATTGACAACTTCATATTTAAGTAAGAACTGTACTTTATTATTACTATCACTACTACTACTTGTTTAATTGACTTTGACAATTACATTGTTAAATTTGGTGTCTTTATGCAAAACAAAGAGATTGATTTTCTGGGCAATAATATGTTTATTGTAGTCAAGTTTTATATACACAAATGTAGATTTGTTAACGTTTCTCCTTGTTTTAAGGCATTTAAAAATGATTTTACAATTTTATTTCAATCCATAAAACAATTAAAGTACCCCTATAATGGATTTTTGACCCGGTAATGCTGTACACAAAGCAGCACTGCTGACAAACCTGCTTTATCAGGCATTACAGGCATGATGAAATGAAAATAAGACCAATCGGACCAATCACCGCAGATTAGTGCCATGCAAAGGAGGGGTTTGGAAAAATGAATCGTTGAGCAAATAGTTAAGAGTCATTGAGCAAGTAAGGTAAAAATAAATGCATATTATAAGACAATGAAAGTGTTTTTTGACCGTGCATGCATTTCAACCTGTTGTTGGGGACTCCCAAAACCAAAATATGAACCTTTCATTACCCATAATAGGGGCACTTTAAAAACGAAGAGTGCCTTAAAAATCCTTAAACTTCTGGCAGCATACATAGATTGACCTATATAAAATGTATTTTAATTTTGTGTTGCATTTTGCTTTTGATATTATTTTAACTTTATTTTATTCTATTTTTATTATCATTGAGTTTATCAGAATCAGAATCAGAAGAGCTTTATTACCAAGTATGTTTACACACACAAGGAATTTGACTTGACGACAGGAGCTTCCAGTGTAGAAGAAAGTACAAACATAGTGCAGACATACATGATAGTGCAGACATACATTATACATAACACAGTAGGGATGTAATATAACACTAATATAATAAAAAAGAAAAATTGAATAGTGTACTATATACAGAAATAGAAGTATAGGAAAAAATTTAATTGTTTAGATACTGTAAATGTACAGATATGTTTATTAGCGTGCAGATATGTTATTTACAAAGTGTGCAGTTTAATATAAATATACTATGTTAGTTGTGATGGACGATGTATAATTATGAAAGATTAATTGTTCAGACTGAATATAGCTTGTGGAAAAAAACTGTTCTTGTGCCTGGCTGTTTTGGTGGTCAGTGCTCATAGCGCCGACCAGAAGGCAACAGTTCGAAGAGAGAGTGGGCTGGGTGTGAGGGGTCCAAGGTAATTTTTTTAGCCCTTTCCCTCACTCTGGAGATGTAAAGATCTTGGAGGCTGGGCAGAGGGGCACCAATAATCCTCTCAGCAGTCCTGACTGTCCGTTGTAGTCTCTTGATGTCTGATTTGGTAGCTGAACCAAACCAGACAGTTATGGATGAACACAGGACAGACTCAATGATAGCAGAGTAGAACTGTTTCAGCAGCTCCTGTGACAGGTTGAATTTCCTCAGCTGGCAAAGGAAGTACAACCTCTGCTGGGCCTTTTTTGCAATGGAGTCTATGTGAGTGTCCCACTTCAGGTCCTGAGAGATAGTGGTGCCCAGGAACCTGAATGACTCCACTGCAGTCACAGTGCTGTCCATGATGGTGAGTGGGTGGAGTGCAGGGGGTTTTCTCCTGAAGTCCACTATCATCTCCACAGTTTTGAGCATGTTAAGCTCCAGGTTGTTAAGACTGCACCAGACAGCCAGCTCTTTAACCTCCTGTCTGTAAGCAGACTCGTCTCCTTCCTTGATGAGGCCGATGACTGTAGTGTCGTCTGCGAACTTCAGGAGCTTGACAGAGGGGTCTTTAGAGGTGCAGTCATTCGTGTAGAGAGAGAAGAGCAGTGGGGAGAGGACGCAACCCTGGGGGGCGCCAGTGCTGATGGTGATAGTCCTGGATGTGAGTTTGCCCAGCCTCACTAGCTGCTGCCTGTCTGTCAGGAAGCTGGTGATCCACTGACAGATGGAGGTGGGCACGGAGAGCTGTGTGAGTTTGTCTGAGAGAAGGTCAGGCATTATGGTATTGAAGGCCGAACTGAAGTCCACAAATAGGATCCTTGCGTAATTCCCAGGTCTGTCGAGGTGTTGCAGGATGTAATGCAGTCCCATGTTGACTGCATCATCCACAGACCTGTTTGCTCTGTAGGCAAACTGAAGAGGATCCAGCAAGGGTCTAGTGATGTCCTTCAGGTAGGCCAGGACCAGTCTCTCAAGTGACTTCATGACCACAGATGTGAGAGCGACAGGTCTGTAGTCGTTAAGTCCAGTGATTTTGGGCTTTTTGGGGACCGGAATGATGGTGGAGCGTTTGAAGCAGCAGGGAACTTCACACAGCTCCAATGATCTGTTGAAGATCTGTGTGAAGATGGGGGCCAGTTGGTCAGCGCAGACTTTTAAACAGGCAGGTGAAACACCATCTGGGCCTGAAGCTTTTCTAGATTTCTGCTTCCTGAAGACCCGGTTCACATCCTCTACACAGACCTTAAGCACAGGTTGAATGGTGGGGGAGAGAGGGAGGGGGGTTGCAGGGCTGGTAGGTGAATGTGTGAAGTGCAGATCAGAGCGGATGGGGGGGTGGTAGACGATCCTTTTCAAATCTGCAGTAAAACACATTCAGATCGTCAGCCAGTTATTATATGCTGCTTGGATTTATTGTTACTGGGTTTAACAATGGAAAGATGACAATGCCAGTTTGTTATTTGAAGGTTAAATTAATTAATTAATTCACGTTTCCGTTCCAAGATGAAGTGACATAAAAGTAATTCATCAGTTAAAGAAGTATACAATTTCGGAAGATGTAGGAAAGATGATGATTTTAAATAGATTACAATTTGGGCACACAGGACTAAATGCATCACTATACAAAATAGGTAAACACAGGTAAATGTGCTTTTTGTGGGGTTATAGAAACCGTTGAACGTGTAATATTAAAATGTCAGAAATATAATATAGAGAGAATTAAAATGATAAAGAACTTAAAAGTTAATAATAAAGAAAAAAAGAAGATAAATTGGATATTAGGAAAATGATTAAGAGAAGGTATTAATCAAAGAATAGTAATGGAATATATAGTAGAAACAGGATTAAATAAACGAATTTGATAGTTAGGCCTACATAAATAAATAAATAAATAAATTAATTAATTAATAAATAAATAAATAAATAAATAAATAAAGCAAAGGAATAGGGGAACACAGAAGCTGGGTTTTTTGGCATGGGAGTTGAACACGCAGCAGCCAGAAATACAGCTTGGGTGAACCCGAAATAAAATGAACAATTAAAAAATATATAATAATAATAATACATAAAATATGAATAGAGGCAGGACTATCAGCCATGTATGAATAGAAACAGTTGGTGGCGGTATGTGCCTGTGGTGCGGAATACGCCCAAAAATTCCAAAGAAGATGAAGAAGAAGATGAAGTGACGTCTTTCACAGCCCCGCCTCCAGCGTATTGTGCGCATGCGCAGGAGCAGTAGAGGAAGAGAGCTGATAAACGCATTGAGCCCGTCTGTTTAGTAGTACACAGTACAATGAAACAGTAAACCACCGTTGGGCGAACATATCTGCCGTGTATTCACAGGTCCGCGTGTTTATATGTGTGTATGATGGCGTGGGGAGTGTGCAGCAGGGCTCTGGTGTGGATTATAACTGCGATCATATGCTGGAGTCACAGCAGCTTGATGGTGAGTTACTGATTGATTACCCTGCTTCTGATCTCTGGTCATCACAACGCAGGCTACCACATTTATCCTGAAGTCAAAGGAGCCTTGTGATGAGTCCAAACACTGCTGATCGATTACCGTCCTTCCTGATCTCTAATCATTTTGACCTGTGGCCCTGTACCATCTTTTTGTTATTAGTCTAGTTTGGGTGCCATTAAATAGGTATGAGGCTGATCTGTGTTGACCTGCTATCTGATCTGAGTGTGTGGACAATGAAGACTTTGTATGGACAAAGAACAAAATACAGCCTACAGAAACAAACTGTGCTGTTATATATGATCCTGAAGCTCTGATCTGTGTATGATCAATAATGTCAGAGTTGTCTTAAAGTTATGTCTCGATTGCCCTGTTAGATGTGGGCTTGACCTATCCTGTTGTACTATGATGCAGTTCTATCCTATCATTTGCTGGACTTTCCTGTACTCTACTGCAGTGCAGTGCCTTTTTTTTGGTCAATTAACCAGAGTGTCTTTATCTACAGTGTCAAAGAACAGGATTAGATCTCAGCCAGTATAAGCCTTTCAAGGCAAACCCTTTCCAAAACATACTTATTCAAACGTATTAAATATCACACTAGAATTACAGCAGTGTAGTCACAGACCTGGTGTAGTGATGCTTCACCTCAGTCTGATAGCTTTTACTAAGATCCACAGACATCGGCAAGATGCTGTAGAGTAGTTGATAAAGATCTGGGCTGGTAAATGAAAGTTTGGAAGGTTCAATCCCTAGCAGAGTCGATTCATGAAGTTTTACTGTTGAACCTTTGATCAAGATACTCTAGGAGTACAGAATATAAATACAGGTCATTTTATATATAAATTATCAGTTAAAAGTCATATCTACTCGCATATCCCATTAGTGAGAAACCATAAAGAATTTCTTAACACGTTTTCCTCTTTATAGATTTTAGTCAGGGTAGTGCTATATTACATTTTTGACAGTAAAGTGCATCTATTTCACACAGCCTCATTTTCATTTAATGGACTGTACTGTTGTTTAACAACATGTCAGTTGTTCAGCTGACAAAACGTATTCCCAAAAACACTTTTAGTACATTAAAACAGGTTTGAAAGCCGCGAGTTGTGAAAATGACATGTTATGTAGGATCTCTCTCAGCCTCGTTTTCATCTGCATTAATTCAATATGGCATGTACCTTGAATAAAGTCTGTTGACTTATTAATGCTCCATATTGCTCTTATATCTGTCTGGACTTGTAACACCAGGAAGTGAGTGACTCATGAGTGCAGCAGACCTCTGGCAGAGAGCACATGGCCGCTGGCCGCTGCCAGACTCGGTGCAGTGCGTGTAGAGGGCTATGTTCATCTCTTATCATGGGTGTATGTGAGCAACTTGTGTGGAAAGAGCCATGGTAGGCCATAGCAGAGGGTACCCAGCTCTGTGTTATTGACATAATGTCGCTGAACACAAATTCATTAAGTATGTGTATGTTTTTTGTTTGTTTGTTGTGATTCTCTGCTGTCTAAAGTGAAAGACTGTCCTGTTAGAAATGCAACTTACCAACTAAACTTATTTCCAACATTAAACCGAAAGAGCAAGTTATTAAACCTTTTTACCAATTATGTTCTTCAAAAATGTGCCAACAAAAATGTAAACATAAATTTAAATTTGTTTTAATTTCACAGACACATTTATCCATAGTGACTTGCAAATGTGAATAATTTAAGTAGATGTAATTAATTTAAGGGAAAGAACAAATAGGGCTGGATAATAATTCAATATCAATATGTATCACGATACAATTTTTTTCAATAACGGTGATATGATTTTTAAACACATTTCCGATATTTCAATATACTTTACCAGTGTTTCCCATACATTGATTTATTTGTGGCGTTTGACTTCGTTGAATAAACATGAGCACTGCACGTTTCAAAATCAAAACACGGCGCTGGTGTTTTATATGAATGTATCTCTGAAGGGAAAGGACTGTCTCCATAAACGTTTCGATGGCATTTTCATTTTATCTGATAAAGAAGCGTTCATGAGTGGAGCTGCTTTGATTACAGCCCTTACTGGAGAAAGGTTCTACCGCTCTCAAAGCGCCTCCTGCTGGCAGACAATCAGTTTGCATTTTCAATAATAAGCCCGTCTCCAGCAACATGTTTTTGTTGTTGCTCTTTTTTTTTCTTTTTCTGCAGCAACTCGGAGCACTTTTCATACTCTTTATACTGGCTAAAGCACGTTTTTTTCAATCTATAAGAATAATCAGCCTACACTACCAGTCAGAAGTTTTTT